AATGTTTGGTAGTACACCACCTTGTGCAATTGTAACACCAGACAATAATTTGTTCAATTCTTCATCATTACGTATGGCCAACTGTAAATGACGAGGAATGATTCTTGTCTTCTTATTATCGCGTGCTGCATTGCCAGCCAATTCAAGAACTTCAGCAGCCAAATATTCCATAACGGCAGCTAAGTAGACTGGAGCACCTGCACCAACGCGTTCAGCATAATTGCCTTTACGCAATAATCGATGAATACGACCAACTGGAAATTGTAATCCAGCACGATTTGATCGTGACTTTGCCTTGCCTTTAACTTTACCACCTTTACCACGACCAGACATAGTTGAGTTGAGTTTCTAGTAGTTGAGATTTATAAAAATTGGATCTATTTTTTTTTAATGATGCCGACAAATTATCTCATATACTTTTTCTAAACGCAATTTAAAATAAAAAATTGCTTTAAACTTTCGTTTGAAAAATGTTTATATAGAAACGGAAATTGCTCCAAATCGGACACACAAAAATTTAAGCGCAAGCAAACAGCTACAGTACAGTGTAATAAAAAAAAATAAGATTAAATTCAAATTCTCGGAAGAAACATTCAAAAATAATTTAAAAAATAAGAATTGCAACTGCAACTGAAGTGTAGTGTATACCTGAAAAGTGTTAATGAAGAGAAAAATCGCCAGAGACGATAAAAATTAAATCCTAAAATTTCAGGCAAGTGTCGTGTATACCTGCATACAAGAAAATAATTAAAAAAAATCGAAAGTGACGATAATAAAAATAATAAAAGAAAAAGGTGTCTTAAAAAAAGAAAAATTGGTTATCTTAATTAACCAACCGTGATAAAAAAAAAAGTGTTGTGCATACCTGATAAATAGGTATTAAAAGAAAAAACAAAAAAAATCAAATCAAAATTAATTTAACAAATAAATAAAAAACAAGAAATTAATTAACAAATAAAATAAGAAAAGAGACGTTTTCTAGGATACAAAAACATACAATTACTAAAATATTAAATATTAAAAACCCCATTATTAAATAAATTCTCAATGGACTCAGCTTTACAGTCACTAAATGAACAAATATATAAGTTGTCGACCATGGTCGATATCTTACAGAAGGACTTAGCGGCCGAAAGGGCCGCAAAGCAGGAGATGGAAAAACTCTATTTTTCCGAGAGGGCCACTCTTAACAAAACTATCCAAGCCCTCACAGAAAAACTTAATATTCTGAATACCTCCCCGAAAAAGTCCAATAAACGGACTAAATTGAACTCTCCATCGCCTTCCCCATCGCGTAAAACAAACAGTCCTTCACCTTCCAAATCTGATAGACGGGATACACCATCACCCACAAGATCGGATAGTACAGAAACTTCATCAGAGTCTGATGAACAAATGTCGTCTGACTCAGACCGGGAATACAACGAAGAATTCCCAGAAATGACTGTGGTTGTGTCTAAACGACAAAAAAATATTCAAAAGAAAAGGCTCAAGGATACATCCACAAACGAGCAAAGGACACCTCAGGAGGTGAATGCAGAAGACACGATTCAGGCTCCAGTATCCCATCAGGAGCCCAAAACAGTTAAACCAGTCCCTATCATTCTAAGGGAACCTAGCCAGTGGAATGCCATTCGCAGAGCAATGGAAAACCGCGGGATTAAAATGACATCCGCTAAAAGAGTGCACCTGGGTATACAAATCTATCCAGAAACTGTTAATGACCACAGACAACTAACCCGGTATTTGACGGAAACGAAAGTCCAATACCACACCTATTTCCTCCCGGAGGAAAAACAATTAAATATAGTAATTCGTGGTCTCAAAGGCCTGACACCAGAAGAAATAAAGGAGGATTTAGAAGCACAAGGCTTCCACCCCGAGGAATGCTATTTCATGAAGATTGGAGCCACTACCTCCAATCTTCTAAAAGTCCGTCTCCCTAAAGAGGAGAAACATATTTTTAATATAACAAGTTTATGTTACCTAAAAGTAACAATTGAAGCACAGAGACCCAAAAAGGGTCAAATCCAATGCCATAACTGCCAGCAATTCGGACATGCCGCCATTAATTGCAAAGCAACTGCCAGATGTGTGAAATGCACAGGAAAACATCATACAAAAGACTGCAAACGACCAAAAGAGCAAAAGCCAAAATGTACTAACTGTGGTGGAGAACACCCAGCTAGTTATGGAGGCTGCCCTAAAAATCCTAAAAACTCTAGCTGGATAAAAACCAACCCAACCCAAAGCACACAAAGACCAAGTGCTCAAATGGGTACAAAAAAATCTTACGCGGAAGCTACAAACACCAGCACAAATAATCTTAAACCTACCCCTCAAGTTCCAAGTATGGAAATGTTCTTTGTCAAAATGCAAGAACAAATGAACTCTATGATGCAGAACATGATGCAAACCATGTTCAGCACAATGATGGCGACTAACAAAATCCATAATGGAAAGTAGAAGCCATATTAAAATCCTGACATGGAATGCGAATTCCATTCTAAACAAGAAAGGAGAATTCAGACATCTCCTCAGAGAATATCAAATAGACGTGGCACTTCTCCAAGAGACGTTTCTTAAACCCTCAATGGATTGGAGGATTCCGAACTACACAATATACAGAAGGGATAGGACACAAAACCGAGGGGGTGGCACCGCAATAGTCATCAAAAACGAAATCCCCCATCACCTTACAACAATAGAATTAGAAGCACTGGAAACAACTTCAATTAAAGTCAAATGCAACAATATGGATTTTGCACTATCTTCAGTTTACAGACCTCCTAGAGCAAAGGAGTTCATAGAAGACTTTCATGCCCTGCTAGAACAAGATAATGCAACTTTTCTAGCAGGAGACATAAACGCACACCACCAATCATGGGGAGACTTCAGCTCGAATCAGGCAGGAAGGAAACTAGATGCATACATATTGAACAACAATATTCAACTACATGTACCAGAAGAACCAACACATTTTGGACAGCATGGAAGGGGACACACCATCGATATAGGAGCCTCAAGAAACTTTGACTACAATATACATATTGAAGTTTTAGACGAAATGTCATCAGATCACAAACCTGTTGTGTTCACAATCGAGAACTGTTTCATTGACATACCCATGCCAATGAAGACAATAACGGACTGGAGAAAGTTCAAAGAACTATTAGAAGGGGAACAATTCAACACGAATACAGAAGATATAGAAGAGAGCATCAGCCTCTTAAATGAAAAGATTATAACAGTTAAAAACACCAGCTCAAGGACCCAACAAATCAAAGCACGTAACTACTTTGATTTACCCAGGACAATAAAAGAATTAATCACCAGGAGAAACAGGATACGCAAACGAGCGCAAAGAACGGGAGATCCAGCAACAAGAATGGAAGGCAACAGACTCACAAATATAATAAGGAAAAAAATTAGTGAGTTCCAGAACGAAAAATGGGAGGATTTTATGGAGACTTTAGAAATAGGTGACAAACCTTTTTGGGGTCTCAATAAATACTTTCGATTTAAGAATAAAATGAACATACCACCAATACACGGTGAAGAAGGGATAAAATTCAGCTCAGAAGACAAAGCAGAAGCATTTGCAAGCTCACTCCAGCTGCAATTCATGCAGAACACGGACCCTGACGATGATGTGGAACGGGAGGAAAAGATCGAAAGAAAAGCTAAAGTGATTCTAGCCCGAGAATGTGATAATAACATAAGACCAACTGATCCAGGAGAGATACTTCAGATTATAAGTTATCTCAAAACAAAGAAAGCTCCAGGAATAGACGGCATCAATAACAAATGCCTAAAGAATCTACCAGATACAGTAATAGGAAGGATCACAACTATAATAAATACTGTACTTCAACAAGGACATTTTCCAAAGACGTGGAAAAAATCATCAATTATTGTGCTACCAAAACCGGGGAAAAATCTAATTTTTCCACAAAATTGGAGACCAATAAGTTTGTTGCCAGCTATAGGAAAAATAGCGGAAAGAATAATTCTCTCCAGACTGAAAGACACAGTCAAAGAGAAAGAACTAATTCCTCCAGAGCAATACGGATTTATGGAAAATCACTCAACGGAACTTCAACTAGCAAGAATGTCACAAAATATCCTAACAGCACTGAGCAAACGGAAATCAACAGGGATAGTGATGTTCGACATAGAAAAAGCATTTGACAAAGTCTGGCATGCCGGATTAATAGTCAAAATGCAAAGACAAGAAATCCCATTGGATTTAATTAAGATCATCGGAAGTTTCCTTCAAAATAGGAAATTCACAGTAAGGTTGGATAATCACTTCTCATCAACAAAGAATATAGAGGCAGGAGTCCCTCAAGGATCACCCCTATCACCAATACTGTATAATCTATATACAGCGGATATTCCCAAAGCACAGAGAAACGAATTATCTCTTTACGCCGATGATACATGCATTATGTATTCCAGCAAAAAGGAGACACAGATCACAAGAAATCTGCAAGGATACATAGAGGAACTGGAAAAATACTTCAAAAAATGGAAAATCAAAATAAACGTCGAAAAAACACAAGCGATTTTCATAACAAGGAAGAAGTTTCAAAATCCACAAAAACTAAGGGTTAACAACAGGGAAATAGAATGGAAAGAAAAAGTAAGATATCTAGGAATTTTACTTGACAAAAAATTTACTTGGAAACCTCACATACGTGAAAAAAGAATGATTTGCAGCGGACTGCTAAAATCACTACAACCAATGATGAGGAAAAAACTAAACATCAAAAACAAGATATTAATCTACAAGCAGATAATAAGACCCAACCTCTTATACGGATGCGTGGCGTACGGAAAAGCAGCAAAAACTAACATAGCCCAGCTACAAATAGCACAAAATCTGGCACTAAGACGTATACTCAATATCCCTTCATACATCAGGAACACGGATATACATAAGGATCTGAAAATAGAAACCGTAAAGAAATACATCAAGGACAAAGCATTGAAACTATTTCAGAAGGTGGACAATCACAGAAATCCAACTTTAAAGATGTTAACGCCCAGAGGATATCACCGAACAAAGGGCAGGTACGCCGACCTAAGAAGTCTAATACTTTAAGGACAATTTAAAGTATTAAAAATGAAGACAACAGATTGACCCAGTGAACATAACTAAGATGTTCACAAAAAAAAAGGGAGTAAAGGTACCAACAGGCACTAACTCCAATCAACAAAACAACATCAGCTCCAAATCGACGATTAAAATTTAAAATCAGAAATCATGCCACCAAAAACTAGCGGAAAAGCAGCCAAAAAAGATGGAAAGGCTCAGAAAAATATAACCA